AGACAAGGCTGATGCATTTTGGAAACAAGTTCTGTGGACCGATGAGGTTAAAATTGAACTTTTTGGCCAGAATGAGCAAAGGTACGTTTGGAGAAGAAGGGGCACAGAATTTAATGAAAAGAACCTCTGTCCAACTGTTAAGCATGGGGTTGGATCAATCATGCTTTGGGGTTGTGTTGCAGCCAGTGGCACAGGGAACATCTCACGAGTAGAAGGAAAAATGGATTCAATAAAATTTCAGCAAATTTTGGATGGTAACTTGATGCCATCTGTGAAAAAGCTGAAGTTAAAGAGAGGATGGCTTCTACAAATGGATAATGATCCTAAACACACCTCGAAATCCACGAGGGATTACATCAAGAGGCGTAAACTGAAGGTTTTGCTATGGCCTTCACAATCTCCTGACCTCAACATAATTGAAAATCTATGGATAGACCTTAAAAGAGCAGTGCGTGACAGACAGCCCAGAAATCTCAAAGAGCTGGAAGACATTTGTAAGGAAGAATGGGCAAAGATACCTCAAACAAGAATTGAAAAAAACTCTTGGCTGGCTACAAAAAGCGTTTACAAGCTGTGATACTTGCCAAAGGGGGCAGTACAAGATATTAACTCTGCAGGGTGCCCAAAATTTTGCAGATGCCATTTTTTTGTTTTCTGTTATTTTGAAAGTGTAAATGATGGAAATAAAATCTAACTTTTGTTGACATATTATAAGAATGTCTAATCTGTAATTTGATGCCTTTTGGAGATTTTTCCATCTTTCCTTGGCTTCTTTATGCACATAATACAAATTTTTAGTTGGGGTGCCCAAACGTTCGATCCCCACTGTAGATAGTACCACATAACAATTCATTACAACTACACAAATACATTTCTGTATTTATGTATTCCATTTTCTACTGTATGAGGAGTGTACTTGGAGAAAACTCAATAAAAGGTGATTTTAACGGATGTGTGGCAACCAGACTAAATTTCTCCATTATCACTGAATAGGAGCTGAGGGCTATTATTTGCAAGTGGGAGGCAATCAGGAGGGAGGATTTAAAGGACGTGTGCTCGAAGGTACAGTGAATGACGTGTGAGGGTTGCAATAAATTCTCCAATATGATGCATTTTAATAGAAAAGTAATGAACAGTATGTACACACAAAGTTTTGATGTTTACCAATCACTTCTTGATACTGTCGTATTACAGCCTTGGGGTCTGGGCCCAAGAACACATAAAAGTCTAAGACTCCTCCGGTGGTTCTCCAAGTCAAGGCTGGAGCTGGTTGCAACAGAACATCTACAAACAAAACATATGAGCAAACAGTAAGCCAATTGTCTCAATCCGAAGAATAGAAATATAGAATAGAATCAAGTGCAAGAAATCTAAGCAAATCACACAGACAAAAGTATAAACACAGCTATGCTTTTAGGAACTGTAACTTTAACCTACTCACTTCTCGCACCTGTATACCCTCTATAGACTAAAGCAATGTTGACATTTATGCTTTGGACTTGTTTATTCAGCAATAATTTTGTCCTTAAAAGCATTAAGGACAAAAATGGAATGCAGACATAGGGCTCCATGAGTGGGTTCAGACATCCAACAAGTGTGATAGAGAGGTGCAAGGTGCCCCAGAAGCAACCAAGGTTTGCCCCATGAGTATAAAATGAAAAAATATTGTAATACCTTTATGAGAGGAAGCAAGGCCAAGGGCAGGAGAAATATCCTAGTACATTACCTGGACTATTCTGATCACTAGAAGTGAAAATATGTTCATAAACAATGAAAAAAAAATATGGCACATTTTACAAGGGTACTCGATTCTGAGCATTTATTACAAGCACAACCAATAATTTTCAAAAGAAAAAAAAAACATATCAACGTCATTGTCATATCGTGTGACGTCCCTCTGCACATGCTCAGTTTGGTGTGCATTACTAGAGAGGGTTTTTTGTTTCTTTGGAGAGTGCATGTGATCAGCACAGGGTCAATCAGCACTGTCCAGACAGAGGTCATGGGTTCTGCATCCTCCTAGAGCAAAATTAAAACTCCACCTACCAGCTTGATGAGAATAATAGAAAATGTCATCAAGTAGGATGTGATCACTACAGATTGGTTTGGCAACATGCAAGGATTTTTGTAGATGTGAGGAGTGTAAAGGTGCTATTAAAGATAAGAGAACGTAAAAACTTTTTGCTCAAGGATTACAAATAAGCGTTATGATACTAAATGTATCACTGGCCATATGGAGAGAATTGTTTAATTGTTAGAATATACTTGCTAACTCAAATATATAGGGAAGACAAAAGGAACATGTCCGCAGAAAAAACCCTATGCACTTAAGGTTTAGGGGTACAGGACAAATCAAGAAGAATTGGGGAGGGGGATTATGCTGTGAGAGCATTGTCAATGGATTTTAAAATGCATTCCTTTCACCCCAATGGTCTGAATAATGAATTTGATCTCAATTGCTTCCTGTGATATACCCTGTGGATATATACAGTATATTGAAGTAGTGGGGCTAGGGACCCATAGACCTGAAACTTCTGCAGAAGAGTGCAGATCACGCTTGAAATGCATTAAGGATTGGTCTATAATAGTGATTTAGAAAGCTAAATACCGTATTTTTTCGGCGTATAAGACGACTGGGCGTATAAGGCGACCCCCTACTTTTCCTGTTAAAATATAGGGTTTGAGCTATACTCGCCGTATAAGACTACCCCTCTTCCAACGCACACCAAATAAAAATGAAAAAACATCAGATTTGATTTCAATATGGTATGCTATTTCAGTATGGTATTCCAATGATGGGGTGCTATTCCTCCCACTGACACCAATGATGGGGCACGATTCCTCCCACTGATACCAATGATGGGGTGCTATTCCTCCCACTGATACCAATGATGAGGCACTATTCCTCCCACCGATACCAATGATGGGGCACTATTTCATCATTGGTGTCAGTGGGAGGAATAGCGCCCCATCATTGGTATCAGTGGAAGGAATAGTGCCCCATCGTTGGTATCAGTGGCGGGAAAAGAAGTGCCCCATCATTGGTATCAGTGGGGAGAATAGTGCCCCATCATTGGTGTCAGTGGGGGGGGGGGGGGGAATAGTGCCCCATCGTTGGTGTCAGTGGGGAGGAGGAATAGTGCCCCATCGTTGGTGTCAGTGGGGGAGGAACAGTGTCTTACCGTTGGTGTCAGTGTGGAGGAGGAATAGTGCCTCATTGTTGGTGTCAGTGGGGGGAGGAATAGTGCCTCATCATTGGTGTGAGTGGGGGAGGAATAGTGCCCCATCGTTGGTGTCAGTGGGGAGGAGGAATAGTGCCCCATCGTTGGTGTCAGTGGGGGAGAGGAATAGTGCCCCATCGTTGGTGTCAGTGGGGGAGAGGAATAGTGCCCCATCGTTGGTGTCAGTGGGGGGAGAGGAATAGTGCCCCATCGTTGGTGTCAGTGGGGGAGAGGAATAGTGCCCCATCGTTGGTGTCAGTGGGGGAGAGGAATAGTGCCCCATCGTTGGTGTCAGTGGGGGAGAGGAATAGTGCCCCATCGTTGGTGTCAGTGGGGGAGAGGAATAGTGCCCCATCGTTGGTGTCAGTGGGGGGAGAGGAATAGTGCCCCATCGTTGGTGTCAGTGGGGAGGAGGAATAGTGCCCCATCGTTGGTGTCAGTGGGGGAGGAATAGTGCCAAGAGTGTCACAGCATGGTGCTGCTGCACACTTACTGGCCGCTCCCTCACTCGATTTTCGCAGGGCCGCTCGGCTCCGCCTCCTCGCCGGTGATTGGTCGCCTGAGTGCCTTTCCAGTGCTGGCGCCCAATCACCGGTGAGGAGGCGGAGCCGAGCGGCCGCCTGACCATCGAGCGGCCGAACTGAAAGAAGGAGCAGCCGCGCTTCCTGGACCGGATTGTTGTGGGACCGGGACCGGAGCCAGGTAAGGTACAGCACCCCCCCTACCCGCCCCTGTACTTAGTGTCCCTTCCGTCGGAGGAGGAGGGGGAGCGGCACCGTGCCGCCCCTCAAAAAAGTGCCACCCTGACACCGGCTCGCCGTTATACCGGCGTATAAGACGACCCCCGACTTTGCATTAAGCATGCAAAGGATTGGGTTATTAATCCTTAATGCATTAAGGATTGGTCTATAATAGTGATTTAGAAAGCTAAATACCGTATTTTTCGGCGTATAAGACGACTGGGCGTATAAGGCGACCCCCTACTACTTTTCCTGTTAAAATATAGGGTTTGAGCTATACTCGCCGTATAAGACTACCCCTCTTCCAACGCACACACCAAATAAAAATGAAAAAACATCAGATTTGATTTCAATATGGTATGCTATTTCAGTATGGTATTCCAATGATGGGGTGCTATTCCTCCCACTGACACCAATGATGGGGCACGATTCCTCCCACTGATACCAATGATGGGGTGCTATTCCTCCCACTGATACCAATGATGAGGCACTATTCCTCCCACCGATATACCAATGATGGGGCACTATTTCATCATTGGTGTCAGTGGGAGGAATAGCGCCCCATCATTGGTATCAGTGGAAGGAATAGTGCCCCATCGTTGGTATCAGTGGCGGGAAAAGAAGTGCCCCATCATTGGTATCAGTGGGGAGAATAGTGCCCCATCATTGGTGTCAGTGGGGGGGGGGGGAATAGTGCCCCATCGTTGGTGTCAGTGGGGAGGAGGAATAGTGCCCCATCGTTGGTGTCAGTGGGGGAGGAACAGTGTCTTACCGTTGGTGTCAGTGTGGAGGAGGAATAGTTAGTGCCTCATTGTTGGTGTCAGTGGGGGGAGGAATAGTGCCTCATCATTGGTGTGAGTGGGGGAGGAATAGTGCCCCATCATTGGTGTCAGTGGGGAGGAGGAATAGTGCCCCATCGTTGGTGTCAGTGGGGGAGAGGAATAGTGCCCCATCGTTGGTGTCAGTGGGGAGAGGAATAGTGCCCCATCGTTGGTGTCAGTGGGGGAGAGGAATAGTGCCCCATCGTTGGTGTCAGTGGGGGAGAGAAATAGTGCCCCATCGTTGGTGTCAGTGGGGGAGAGGAATAGTGCCCCATCGTTGGTGTCAGTGGGGGAGAGGAATAGTGCCCCATCGTTGGTGTCAGTGGGGGAGAGGAATAGTGCCCCATCGTTGGTGTCAGTGGGGGAGAGGAATAGTGCCCCATCGTTGGTGTCAGTGGGGAGGAGGAATAGTGCCCCATCGTTGGTGTCAGTGGGGGAGGAATAGTGCCAAGAGTGTCACAGCATGGTGCTGCTGCACACTTACTGGCCGCTCCCTCACTCGATTTTCGCAGGGCCGCTCGGCTCCGCCTCCTCGCCGGTGATTGGTCGCCTGAGTGCCTTTCCAGTGCTGGCGCCCAATCACCGGTGAGGAGGCGGAGCCGAGCGGGCCGCCTGACCATCGAGCGGCCGAACTGAAAGAAGGAGCAGCCGCGCTTCCTGGACCGGATTGTTGTGGGACCGGGGACCGGAGCCAGGTAAGGTACAGCACCCCCCTACCCGCCCCTGTACTTAGTGTCCCTTCCGTCGGAGGAGGAGGGGGAGCGGCACCGTGCCGCCCCTCAAAAAAGTGCCACCCTGACACCGGCTCGCCGTATACCGGCGTATAAGACGACCCCCGACTTTTCAGAAGATTTTCATGGGTTAAAAAGTCGTCTTATACGCCGGAAAATACGGTACATATTTGTTATATGGACCATTTTATATAATTTGGACTTTTCAAGTTAAAGTGTTACTAAACCCACAACAGTAAAATCAATCTGTATATGCAGTAAAGCATGCTTGTTATACTCAAATGTGAAACCTAAGGGGTATTCCACCGAATTGTGTGAAAAAGCTGTTTGATTCTCTCTTCTCTGTTTTCCCCTTCTACTGTCCCCAATCCAACCACTGTAGTACAGAGCTCTAGGAGTCACTCTGCACATGCTCAGTTTAGTGTGTGTGGCTAGAGAGTTTTGTTTTTTTGGAGGTTGCATGTGATCAGCACAGGGCCAATCAGCACTGTCCAGACAGAGGGTCAGGTGTTATGCAGTCTCATAGGACAGTCAGAGTAGACTGAAAACTCCTCCAGCAAGCTTTATCCATCGCTTGGCTGGACACTGATAGCATTTACAAGACTGCTATATACCGCTGATGAGAAAAACGTATTTAGCAGATTGGTGTGGTATTGTGTTTTGCTGACAGTCAACGCTGAGTTTTGGTTTTTTTTTATAAAAGAATTGTGTGGGATTTAAAAATACTATACAAAGGAGAAGGGCATTTTTTCTTTTGCTTTATTTTTTTTATAGCACTTGACTGAGGAGATTGAAATCCTGATATCTGTGCAAGTGATAGAGGAATTACAAGCAAAGAGTACTGTGTGAAGACAGAGGAAGGAGTGTCAGGAGCTGATCTCCGGGAGTAAGCGGTGAACCCCTGGGGCAGGTTTACTGGAGATGCCATCTAGAAGGCATCAAGGTCCCAGCTGAAGCTTAAACTTTGTCCTGGAGTCTGTGTGGGTCTGGAGAAGCTCATAGGAGAGTACCAGGAGGATGTTGGGGAAACATTCCAGCTGTTCTATGGTGGTATGAGTCTGTATCTCCCTCACTGAAGAGTGCCCGGTGGCTATCGATAGGGTCAACCAGACATACTGTGGCCATATGAGTGGATGCCGCTGTGCTGGAAGCTAGTGATTGTGTACAGCTCTTGGTCTTTTGGGAAAAGTTCTAGTCACCTGTCATCATTAAGAGATTATGTGGGACATTTTGGGCAGCTTAGCAAGATAGGAATCATCAGTGTTTGGTTCACCAGTTTTCTTCTTTTTTTTGGGTATCCCATGGTTCTCTTACCCTATCCAAGTTCAACAATATAATAAAACCATATAAAAGACACCCTTAGACTGTTCCTTTTGAGCCAGTAGAAGAGTGAAGAATATGCTGTGTGCCTGGCTGTGTGTGCTCTAACTGGGGAAAAAAAAAAAGCCAGTTCGCCAGTGGCTCCTTAGTTCCCCACATAAAGACTAAGGATAGGTTCACTGCCCAAGGGCCTGGAGTCAGTAGGGGGCCCCATGAGAGGCTCCACACATATCATACAGCAGCATGTTTAGGTCTGTCTGAATAATGTGCCCACCTGAAACCCAGACACATTATTCAGACAGGAATGTGGCTCTGAGCGGGGCCTGGTGGGCGGGTAGCCCGGGATGGGAACAGGTGAGGAGGTGGGAGACATGTACTGAACAAGCAGAGGACTGGTGGTGACAGTGGGCAGGGAGCAGAGGAAGCGGCGGTGGAAGTGTCAGCAGCCTCTGATCCCAGTAGCTCAATCCCGGGCTGTGACTGTGCCTCGCTACACACAGCTGGTGATGGAGACGGCGGGCGGCAGGAAGGTGAGAGGAGTCCATAATATTAGCTGGCATGACTAGACACTGACTCCTAAACCACAGCTGATGTAGTGATCAGGAAACCCTGATGATATGATTTTACAGATTACAGTATAATTTATGTTTTTTGGGGGGGTGATCACCCGATCTGCCGATGTAGTTTTGGTGGGGATGGGAGGAGTCTTCTGATGTAGTATAGAAAGGATAGAGTAGCCCCCTCCTGTCTCTCACCCCCCCTTCTTTTTCACCTCCCTCTCTCTCCCCCTACCTCTTTCCCCCCCTCCCCTTCTATTTCTCTCCCACTTTTCCACCTCCCATACATCTCTATCTCTCCTTCCTTTTCCCATTTCCTTATCTCTCCTCCCCTCCAGGCCTAGTGACATGACAGAGGTGAGAATTTTATTGCTTTATTACAAAGGGGTACTTTTTTTTTTTTTTACTCATAAATTTAAAAAAATGTTTTTGTTAATGCAAAATGCACCCTTTTGATTCAGGTGAGAGTGATTTTTACCAATTCGCACACTTTAGAGATTTCGATTTTTTTTTGTTGAAAGAGGAATGCCCAGTTAGATATTGTATCCGCCATTATCCATGGCACTGGAGACATTTACACCATTTCAGCCCAAATACTAACCCATGGCATTGCTGTTAAGTAGAAAAACCCCGTGAGCAGAACCATCTTTTTCCAAGGCCAAGTAAAATGGATGAGAGCCATAAAGATTTGTATCTTTCTAAAAATACAAAAAGAATTGTGATATATTAGCAGCAGACAGTAAAACGAACAGTTTATTATGAGAGGTACAATGTAGAAATGTTAGAGGATGTTGAAGATGTTCCTCAGAAGCCAAAATGTGCTTTCTTCCTTAAAGTATATGTAAACCCTCACCTTGTAAAACAGTTCATGCAGTTTACAATAGGAATTAAAGGCAAAACATTTGTGTATATATAAAAAACAAAAACAACAACAAAAAAAAAGATTATAAATACTTTATAAAAAAAAAACAAAAAAAAAAAAACACCTTTATTCTTGGCTGCATAAAGGGCTGAGGGTGGAGAAACAGAATTACACTGATCTTCCTAGTGAATGGGGGTATCAACACAAATCTTGGCCATAGGAAAACAGGCAGGCTGTGTTCCAAGCACAGACAGAAAACTAAACGTGAAGTGTAGCGCTAAACATATAATGAAATCTTGATAAAATCCTATTGGATGAAAATCGTCGGGAAGGAGTTGACAGTGCTGACATCACGCCGCTGTGCGATCTCGGGTCGGCAGTGGCTGTTTATGTAAACTTCTTTTGTTTTATGTACTTTTATTCACCTGGTATTTAATACTACACTATTGGAAGTTTACTTTGCTCCTGGCGAGCTTTATTTCACCACAGCCCGGCCAGACAGAATGACACTTATAGAGTCTCATGTCAAGACATATGCGTTCCTACTTTAAACATATGGCCATTTATGCTGTTGTAGTGCCATCATTTCTGGTGAGTTTTCAAATCACTGGGAGATGGTGATGGAAATTTTGATTGGAGTGGTTTTGCTGCAAGCAAGAGCACTTTACGGTGGTGGATGGACATTATATCAACATATTCTTAACTAATTTTGTTTGCACTATTGTTTTTTTTACCTCACGGACATTTATTTTGATGTACTTTAGGTTTCATTATTATATGTTTAGTGCTACACTTCACATTTGCAGTTATTATTTAGGTTTGTATACTACCTATTGGTGTTAGCTGCTTTATACTTTCAGTCAGCGCAGATATTGTTTATCATATTTTAACAGACAAAATACTGCCCACGCTGGGATGGATGTTCTTCTGTGCCTAGTGTGGTCAGTATGAAACAGGAAACTGGCGAGATCACCAGGTATTTTACACAATGGAAGCAATATAAAAAGAACAGGATACTTTTTAAACAGGCACATATCAGGAATAGAATATATGAGATCTTGGAGTAACACATTCTTTAACCTGATTCACATAAAAAAAAATGGACAGCTTACATATGAAGCATGTTCGTTCTAAAGGAAAGCATAAGTGAAAGGAAAGAATTGATCAAATCAACCTCACCTCTTATAACTTGAAATAGTAGACCTTTGTTGGGTTTTATATTTATGAAATTAATGTGTCAAAAAGATTCTGCCCACATTCTGTAAATTATACATAAATTGTATTCTAAATAAGTATGGCTATCTTTGAATATCTCTTTCCTGTACTCATCTTTTTCACATAGTATAGGCTGAAAAGATCCCGAACGTATTGTCAGGTTCTACCTCGAAGCCTGGACTTACAGCTTGCTCAGCCTCTTAGCTGTGCTGCTGGGAGGCTGAGCCAGTTGCTCCTTCCTCTCCCCAGCCCAGTGCTCCAGTGAGCACTGGAGAAGCAGAGCAGAGCAGAGAGCCGGTGATTGACAGTCACTGCTCTCTGCTTAGAGCGAAGGGGAGAACTGAATGATCAGTGGTCTTTGACCACTCATTTCTCAGTGCAGAGCCGGAAGGGAGAGATACAGCATCGGACTGACCAATGCTGCATCCACCTAGGTGAGCATAATTTTCTCCTTTTTTGAATCATATACCACTCTTTTAATACAGAGCAAGCTAACGTCATAATAGATGCATACAGCATAATTATTTTATTTATAAATATAACTTGAAGATTTATGGAACAGCCATGAGAGTTTGTTTTACACATTTATATGCAAACTTGGTTATGGGGCACAGCCACAATGTACAGTATTTGAACAAGCAACCCATTTTTCCTATGTATAGTATACTATAGACACCCTATAGATGACGTAATAGTAAATCGCAGATAGGCCAATGACACAAAATGGAAGGTTGTGTAATACATTCTGCCAATTTTAACTTTAAGATTCATATATATTTTG